CTCACTTCACAATGTAATCACTCTCCTTCTGCTACAAGATCACCCCACCTTCCACTCACTCTTCTTTCTTACTGGGCTGCTTCTCACTTACAATCACCCTCTGCCCCTTTGGTTCACAGATGTAGAGTGTCCTGTTCATGGAACACGCCCTTGTCAGGTGAGTGGAATTGAATTCAGGGAACAGTATTTTTGTCAGAAGGAGGTTACTTGGAATGTGTTCAGAGAAGGGTAAAAAAAAAAAAGTGCAGGAAAAGATAAGGGAGAGATGAAAGAGTTCAAGACATTCATAAAGAAATGGGAGAGCCTGAGAGTAACAAAAACCATAGAAAATGAGAAAGAGAAAACACTTTACAGGCATCTCATCCTATTTTACAGATGGAAAGACTGAGAGCCAGCTCTTAGTGGACTCAGAGCCTATCCCAAGATTTTTGACCCCCGCTACCCTTACTCCCTCTCTTCACCTCACTTCTGTACCAGGTCCTACTACCACCCTCAAATGTGCCTTAAGAGAATATGACAATGGCCATAGGTTACAAAGTACAGAGATGCAAATTTGGCCCAATCTGAGGAGGCTGGAGATGAGAAACAATGCCCCAAGCTGCCTCGCAGCACAGTGAGGTTCTCCATCACTGAACGAATTACTGACACATCTGGCTGACATCTGTCAGTGATGCTATAAATGGCACTGTTGTAGTAAATAATGATTTAGCTCCAACAGTATTAAACCAACTCAGTTCTGTGGGCCAGTGTCTGGTTGGCTTCAACAGAATAACTTGGGGAGTTTTTAAAAATAGAGGGATTCCCCAACTCTTAATTTCAGAAATTCTGATTCAGGAGGTTTTGAGAAACCATGGAACCAGGTGATTTCTGAGGGACCTTCTAATACTAAGACTCTATTATGTTACTTTCTGTAGCATGGCTTCCAAAGTATCAGTCAGCTCTCATTATTAAGCCAACACACATAACAAGTAGTCCACTCCAGACTCAGAGTCAAGGAACAAGAAGCACTGCCACTGTCTCTGAACGCCTATGTTCTCTAGGCAGGTAACCCATCTTTTCTAGTCTCAGTGTTCACTTCTTTAAGATAGAAGCAATGGACTCTTAGAACAGTGCTAGAACTCTTGATCTGGATCTGTGGGCTCCTATTACATACCCAGAGGACCTCCACCCATCCTGGTAATGAAACTGCATGGGGCCAGTAGGCACATGACCCAGTTCTGGGTGTGGATTCTGAGAAGTGAGGGGAAGTTTATGTGGGAGGGTGTCCCTTCCTGATTAAAGGGGCAAAGGCTCATGAGGAGAAGTATTTTTCCCTTTTATGTCCTGCCACCTTTGTCCTGACTTGAACATGACACACGGAGATGAACAAATGGACAGTGGAGCAGGAAGGAAACTGTGGTCTTTAGGGACATCGCTCAGCTGCCGCAGCAGTCCTGGACTGTCCAGGTGTAGTCTACATCTATATGCACAAAAAGTAAGGCTTTATATTTTCCGACTCTATGAGCAGGGTTTCTATTACTTGCAGCCAAATGCAATCTTTACTGATACAGCATTAAAACTCTCTTTTCAAATGAAATCTCTTGAAAAACCCCAATATATGAAACAAATAAAAGTGGCTGTGCTATTTAGAAAGATGGATGGAGTGTTTCCAGAGCCATTCCTTCCTATTTCCTGCAGAGGTTCTTCCATGGAACCAGAACTGGCCAAAATCGGTACCTCTTAAGGTAGAGTCTCCAAGGCACCAGGGATTCTCAGATTTTCTCAGGACTCTGAGAGTTCTCTGCCAAATTTGTTCTTGTGCTTTTCTTTCTCTTTTCTTTTGATGTACTTATTTTATTTACCCGAATTTTGTCCTAGGAAACGCAGATCCAATTCATGACCTATGGCTACTACCATGCAGTTCTGGTGTCTGCATTTGTATTCAGTGTACAATCATGTTGGCAATAAGTGATTTGATTCTAATTGTCATGAATAGAAAAAGGAGCAGAGTGTAATATAATACAAAATGAAACACTCCTTCAAGGTGCAGATCAAAGGACACCATAGCATGCAAATGAAGGTACATTTGAAGAGAAAAAAAGTCATGGAAGAATCAAGTCTATATCCAGGATATAAGAGTATGAGTGTCTAGAATCAAAATAATCTCCAGACAACTGTCAGTCCCATGTTCATGGTGAGGCTTTATTAAATTCCAGTAAAGCATCTTCTACCTAAAATAACAATGTTGATAGTCTGAATACTATTACTTTACTTTGTATTTAATTCATAAATTCATTTTAGTCTTATAGATGCTAAAGAATGATTAAAATAGAGAGGTGATTCCCTAGTGGGTATTTTTGGTTTGTACATATTTAAATTGCAGTATAATAAAAGCAGTTAAATCAACAATGGGGGTGTGGATCTTTTCCCTCACCCTGTTAAAAGGAGTCTTTATATTACCCAACTCAAGAATTTCTGGACCACAGGATGGCCCTAATCCCTTCCAGATGGTCAAATCCATAATTCCATGAACCTCCTCACCTTATGAAATTAATATTAAATACTTCCACCAACAATGTGGTACGTGCCCCTGAAGGTTTTTAAAAATTAAAAAAAGAAATAAAATTAAATAAATTCAGGCATTAAAATAAAGCATATGTATCATTCTATATTCCTTTTCAAATGTTTGTCTTAAGGATGAAGTATACACGGGTAGGGCCTAGAACAAGCTATGCTCACTGCCATCCCGCCCCCATCTCCACCTGGTCCCTTCACTCATCACTCCCAGCAGAAATATCTCTGGACGGAACAAATATGGGTTAAAAATAAGGCCTTAGGAGCCTGCTCCCTCCTCACTTAGGAAATCTGAACCCTTGGGCAATGCCATTCTTACAAAATGTGCTTTCTGATTGCTTCCAGAGGGCACAGTGGGGCAGACTGACTGTGGGGTCTTCTACTGTGAAGATGGTAAAACCATTCTCCTCACTGAGGCCATGGTTTAGCCACACACTTCAAGGTGAACCAATCAGTGCCCGCTGGGCTTTGCTATTCTAGTATGTATGTTTCATTCCTGTGCACAGATCTCCCTCTGCCCCTGCTGCCCAGTTTGTGGTGTGGCCACTCCTCCCTCCCTGTAGCCTGTACCTCTGCCCTGGATTTCTTCTTCTCTACCCTCCCACACCCCTCTTTTGTTTTTTCCTTTTTAAATGTCCAGGGAACTTGATTTTCCCCTCATATACTTCTAAAACAGGGCAACTATAGACTTTCTTCCAAGTTTCAGGCAATGCTGTTCGTACCCCTGTAACCTGAAGTTGCTATTTCACGCCTGCTCTGCTCAAGGCTCAACGCACACTAAATTTAGAGGAGTATGAAATTAGAGCTCACAGTCTCCTTTTTCACTGGCAGTGTGTTTGGCTGTGGTTCATGTTCTTTCCTAATCTCTTGGCATCTTGCTCACTCCATAGGCAACCCAAGTGTAGTCACTGTCTGTCCTATCTTATCCCATGTCCAACAGTTTCCAAGTGCTCTTCATCCCAACCCAACCCAAAGATGACATTCATGGAGAAAATATTTGTGTGCCATCTCTCAGAATAAGAATCCCTGCTGCCAGTCACTTACTTCCTAATTCCCTCCTCCAAGTGCAAAACTGTGGAGAAAATAAAATTGCTGGCTGAGAGGGCTGACTTGCCACCAACAAAACACAATGCCTGCGCACTTATCCTAGGTCTTATGCAGACAAAGATATGAAAAAGTCCAGCCGCCCCACTCTTTATTCACCCATTCATCTAACTCTCTACTATCAGCTACTTGTTGAGAGATTTTAGAACCAAAGTAAATGCACACCTATTTTATTGAGGTCCACCCTGAGAGTTCTAGCCACTCTTCTGCTATTCAAGAGGTAGCCAAGAACCCACTCATTCATCTGTTTCCCCAGCCAGACTCTTGGCCAAGGCCCCTTTAGAAAACACCATTGCTGTCGCTGATGGTTCTGCCAGTAATCACAAAGCTGTAGTGAGACTGAGTCCAGCTCTTTCAGAACTGAACAGTGCTCTTAAGTGCAATTATGCTATGTATTTTCTAAATGTTAAGTATAGAATAAGATGTAGCTTTCGGGGGAGGGGTAAAACTCTGTATTGCATTATAGTTGATATGTATGAAAAAGAATTACCCAAAATTTGATTTTTTTAAAAAAATCACTCTTTTCAGTAAGGTGTAAAATAAAATCAATTGATCAATGAAATAAAATTCACATTATTATATGTCTGTCTTTTAACAATGATTTTGAGTAAATTACTGTTTTCTGTGACTCTTTAGTTGTCTATACTTCATAGAACACAGAAGTATTTCTTTTTGAGGGAAGAACTGCCAGTTACTTCTGCAATTCAGAAAAGATTGAAAATTATTCTAGAAACAGAATTACAAATGTTGATCCAGCATATTTCTAGGCAAATATATCACTGAGCTCCTTAATGACAGTCAAAATCCCACATAATAATAAAAGATGCCAGGAACTCATATACACGTATCTGTCCCTACACTCTGAAAGTGTGATCCAAAATAGAAACTTCAAACGCCGATTTCCTCTAAAATGAGAGCCATTTTCTGCTAAAAATGTCCCTCTCCAAATTCTCCTAAAGCAAAGAACACAGACAGTTTCATCTAAAATTATATTTCCTGCCAACGAACTGTCCTTCCCCACAGAGAAGTTGCAGACTGTTGGAGCAGGGTGACAATACAAGAGTTCACATACTTTTCTTTTTCACAGTCCTGTTGCCAGCTTAACCCTAACTTTCCAAAGTGTACTGCCGAAAATCACCTCTTGAAGGGGGCTGAGGGAAGAAAAGATGACAACCCCACACCAAATGTTGAAGTGATGGAGTTCTAACTTGTTCACACACATACACACAACCTCCCCACGCCCCCCACCCCCCCACACAAACACACAGAGTACTTGCAAACGAACAGCAGGCTTAGAAAGCCAAGAGAAAGCCTGGAAATGCAAGAACTGAGCAGTTCCCTACCTCTCCCCTGCTTCACAAAGCGGCTGAAGAGAATCCCCTGCGATCCAGGCGCGTGTGGAGAGGCTGGAAGGGGGCGGACGCTCAGCCTGCAGGGACTGAGCAGGCCCAGCCTGTGTTCAGAAGCTGCCCCAGTCAGATTTTCCAACTGCGGAGTTGCAGCCAAGTCCCTGCCCATGCCTGAAGAATTTCCTGAACAGCATTCCCGTGCTTTTTCTGACTGCTTTGAAACCGTACTCTGCCTGTATTTCAATACGCCTTTGTCAGGCCAACTCCCACCTACTGGGCCGGCGTCAGCTCTCAATGGGAAACACGTGTGTCAAGCACAGACTCGCTCCCCTGCCCCAGCGCCCATGGGGGCTGCTGGGCTCACAAAACCACAAAGGCAACGGCTTCTAGAACTAATACTGATTTCTCAGTCATTCTCCACACGGCCTCTGCTCTGTGGTGCTCGATGCTGGAGCTGAGTCTCCTTCCCCTGCTCCACGCCGCCCTTTGCCAACTTCCTCCTTCTGCTGACAGCCCCCAGCTGACCCCTGTTAGCCCCTCACCCCAACCCAACTCTTGCCAGTCCTGATAACGAGCCTATTACAGCTGAGAGATGGGAATCCTCATTTGATCTTCCTCCCTGCCAGTGCCTCTGTCTCTGCTCAAAGGATCAATTGCTGGAGGGGGAACAATATTTTTAGCATTTCCAGATTGGTTCAGTACTTCTGAGTTGTCCCCTCAACCTGATGTGTGCATCTCTTACTGCTGCCACTAAAAATAATGCAATTATTTTTCAGGCACTTTTGTGGCTCTCTGCTCTCTAAGTGTGCTGGTCCCCAAATGTAACATTTTGCAGGCTCAGGCTGCTGCAATGTGTGCTGTGGTTACAGGAAACAGAAAAGAGAAAAGAAGGTAACTTTAATCAGAATGTGTCATAATTCTCTGCACCTGTGATTACTTCTGGATGACCCTCCATCAGGATGTCCCATGTACATTCTGCTGGATGGTGTAGCCTACCTTTGAGATTTCCTCTTTCCATAAAACGCAGAGGAAATTTCTAAAGATACAAAGAGGACACCCCTCTTCTCCTACACTGAAAACCCCCTCTCTAAAGAGCCAAAGCTAAGTTGTCAAGGTAACATTGTAGAAAACGATGATTTAAAGAGAAAGCCTCATTTATTTTGAGTTTTATTCTTTTCTGTTTGGGGGGTATTAATATTTTACTTCCAAAATCATATCCCACTAGCAACTTATTTTAAAGAACTGGCTTGCCAGATTTTAAAAGTACTGTGTGTTCCTGAGGGACTGCTGTAAATAATAGATTTGGTAGGATCAGGAGTTTAGCATCAAACTGCACTGGGTACTTTCAGGAGGATTCAATTTTTGCCTTGGGAAGCAGTGTGTCTGTCTGTGGGGAAGGGAGCATGGGCACCTCTAAGGTAAGGACACAATTATAGAATCAAAGAATTTTAGAGGAGGAGGGAACCCCAGAGACCATCCGATCCAAATTGTTTCAACCCTTTATTTTACAAAGGGAAATGGAGGTCCACACAGATGAGATGACTTGTTCAGAGATGCAAAGACTCTTAATGTTAGAACTGATGCTAGAAAGCAAGATTTGGGTGAATTTTCCAGGTGCTTTCTCTTTTCCAGCATCATTTGGGAAAGGCCATATCATCTAACCTTCACAAGAGAAGGCTTAAAATCAGGTGGCCTGGGTCTAATCTTAGCTCTGTCTCTTACTGGCTGCGAATTCTGATTAGTTCACTTGACCTCTCTGGACCTCAGTTTCCTCACCTGTAAAATGGGGGTAATAACAGAATCCAGCTCACAGAATTTGGTGAGATAATCCATGCAAAGTGCTTATTATCGTGCCTATAAATTTTGGGTTACGTTTCCTTTTATTGAATCCAGCAAAAACCAGACCCTTTCTCTCACCAAAAAGCAAAACTGTACTCTCACATCTAGTTTGAGTTCCTAGAATCAACTATCTGATTGGCTAATTAAGTTTTCTGCCAAGTTACCTTTACACAATAGGGGCCTACCCCCTTAAACATAGACAGGTGTCCTAATGCTTTATTGGAACATTAGCCAACCACACAGCTATTTTTCATTTATTCACTACACCTAACACTGAAGGCTTTCCTCAAGATTAACTCACCAGCAAGGTAAACAGTCAGACCAAATCTGCAGTCAGTTACATGAGGCTCAACAAAGTGCCATTTAGAGAGAACTGGAGCTTCTGCCAAACTTTAAGAGCTCAAGATTACCATTCTAAAAATAGAAGACCATTAACAATTGCAATTTCCAGGTTTGGCAACTGCAATGTCCTAAATTAACAGCAACAATTACAAAACAAAAATCCTGTAGGTCAAGGAAGAAGTCTTACTGAGGAAACAGTGGCTACAAATTCTAAAGAATCAGATTTCTATCTGGGTTTCCAGAGCCTTCGTTTCAGAGGCAATCATAGCAAGTGGTTAATGAATCACACACTACTTATTAATCACGTTGGGGTGCCCAGGTTCTTTTGGGAAAACAAAGAGGAGGGGTAGTTCTTAATTTTAAGTGGTTTATAAATGCTTTGGTAAACAAAAAAACAACAGCAAAAAAAAAAAAAAAACCCAAACATAAAACAACTGGAAAAACAAGGTCAGATTTTATATAAAGGCAGAAAAATGGTGATGTAATCCAAAGGACGCTGCTTTGATGTCTCTCCATAAACTAGCTACATGGCTCATTTCAGCGTGGATATTTGAAGAGAGATACCTCCGTATAGACTCAATTCATTACTACTAGCTGGAAAATCCTAAAAAGTTACTTACGTCTTCTAATGTTAAGAAAAATTATCCAAAACTTGAAAATCAGACCAAAAGGTAGTCACATTCTATCAAAGTCATGTGTGGCAATTGTTTAACACGCCCTCTCAAGAATTATTTAAGGGAAATGTGCTTTTTCTGATTCACTGTTGACAACTGAATAAAGATCCCAAATATAGTAAAGTTACAAGTTACCTTGGAGAGTTTTGCCTGTTAAAGATACACAGTATTTCTCAGGATTGACATATACACACTACTATATTTAAAAGAGATAACCAACAAGGATCTACTGTATAGCACAGGGAACTCTGCTCAATATTCTGTAAGAACCTAAATGGAAAAGAATTTGAAAAAAGAATATATATATATATATATATATATATATATATATACACACACACACACACACACATATGTATAATTGAATCACTTTGCTGTACACCTGAAACTAACACAACACTGTAATCAGCTATACTCCAATATAAAATAAAAATTTTTAAAAAAAGAAGAAAAAATAAATCATTGATAAAATGCTGAAAAAATAAAATATAATCCCAAATGTTATAGTCTATTGCCCTATAGGACATTCACTGGTTTTGTATCTAGTCTAGCGATCTCCCGCCCCCCGCAGTGAAGAGTAGCCTCCACTTGCTGCAACTAGAGAGAGCCCGCGCGCAGCAACGAAGACCCAATGCACCCAAAAAATTTGAAAAAGAATATATATATATATATATATATATATATATATATACACACACACACACACACACATATGTATAATTGAATCACTTTGCTGTACACCTGAAACTAACACAACACTGTAATCAGCTATACTCCAATATAAAATAAAAATTTTTAAAAAAAGAAGAAAAAATAAATCATTGATAAAATGCTGAAAAAATAAAATATAATCCCAAATGTTATAGTCTATTGCCCTATAGGACATTCACTGGTTTTGTATCTAGTCTAGCGATCTTTTGTTAACATTCTTTATTAATGTACCTATGAACAAGGAGCTCCTTAAATGGTCTCAGAATCAGTCTTACCATCATACTGATTCCCTCATAGTTAATGAGTCAAAAAAAATCTTCGACATACTTTCATTTTATATTGTTATTTGTAGGACCCATGTATTTAACTTCAAAAAGTTACAGCTTGACACTGTTTCACTTTCTTCATCTGTATAATGAGTATTATAAGTCTTAACTGAGATAACACATAATAAACCACTCAGCAAAGTGTATGGCACACCGTAAGTGCTCAGACTATATCGGTACTGCTGTTATTTAATACTATCTATTTGGTTTTCAGTTTTTGTAAAGGACTCTAGACTACACTAGATCACTAGACTAGTCTCCTTCCTCCTATACCTTTTAATCCTTGCCATTAGATTCTGAATCCTCTCTACAATGGCCACTCCGGCTGGAATTCTTTTATAGATATTGATCCCTCTGCTTTTCAGAGATTTCTACTTCTAATGTTCTAAAACTAAAAACTGAAGTATATCTCCCTGTAGCACATTCAGATGCTGCAGCTGCTGATCATAAAGGTCAGTTAGAAATTCTGATAAGGATTGCATGAAAGAGAAAACTTCATTCTAAAGCAGGATATAAACTCCACAGAGACATGGGTTTTTGTCTGCATCACCTCCTGCCTTTTTGCCAATATCTAGGAAGAGTAAGTACTTGGCCCTCATATTTAAACTTTGAATAAATAAAACCTTTTGACTTATTTGAAAACAGGACGCTAAATCATCCTTTTTTAAAGAGTTATTTTGATTACAATTTAAACACATCCCTTACTTTAGGAGACGGATCCAAAAAAATACTGCTGCAACTTATGTCAAAGAGTGTTCTGCCTGTGTTTTCCTCTAGGAGTTTTTTTAGTGTCCAGTCTTACATTTAGGTTTTTAATCCATTTTGAGATTAATTTTGTGTATTGTATTAGATAATGTTCTAATATCATTCTTTTACCCGTAACTGTCCAGTTTTCCCAGTACCACTTATTGAAGAGACTGTCTTTTCTCCACTGTATGTTCTTACATCCTTTATCATAGAATAATTGTCCATAAGTGTGTGGGTTTATTTCTGGGCTTTCTATCCTGTTCCACTGACCTATAATGCCTGTTTTTGTGCCAGTACCATACTGTTTTGATGACTATAGCTTTGTAATATACTCTGAAGTCAGGGAGTCTGATTCCTCCAGATCTGTTCTTCTCTCTCAAGATCGCTTAGGC